CAGGAGACAGTAGTTGACACAAGTGGAACAAGTGCGCCAGCGAGGTGCGTGGACCCATAATGGTAAGCTTATAAAAATATCGATGTTCTTTATATCCTTTTTGTAATTTTTTGATTTCTAAAAATTGAAATCTACTAGAAAAGATTTGAGTTTGAGATTGGACCAATGGAGTGACTCCATTGGCTTAGAGTTACTATAAAGAGAGGACGTTGCGATAGGTATCAAGCCGACATGCGGTCGAAACTTATATTATGGAATTTAAACAAGTGTAGCTGGATCTTGCTGCGCATTTGGAAGGCCCTGAATTAACTACAGAAGGAATCAAGCCAAATTGACACGACGGGATATTTAAAAGTTAAGCCTTTTGCTGACATTGACTTTTGCCCCAATATAAACGGGCAATCTCTATGAAGCATGGAGGTACACGTGAGGCTTCATAATGATCAGCCGATTCAAAGTGGACGAATTGTCCTATTTTTATATAGTATAGAGGCACCCGTATAACCAACCTTGAGACTATGTTATAGATTGCCTTTGAAACAACCCGATATTCATCAAAAGCGTAAGGAAGACACACAAGCTGAGGACAGCGCTTTAAAGCATCGCCAACAACCATTCCATTCCGAAGACCACATTGACGAGCAGGATAGCTGACACAAGCTAATTCGGAATAACCCCCGCCGATTCCCTACAGACACATGATAGAAAACATAACCATCGTGCTTTGGAACCAACCTTACTATGCGTGATGGCAACAGGCTTGTCTTTCAGGTCAGGATGTTTACGAAGGGCTACTGATACAAAGAAGCAATCAAGATCAACGTGGAAAATTGTCCTAGAGAATCTGAAGTGGGATCATTAATTGCAGCCAACAATCTGAAGTCCCAGTATGCAGACATCATCATGTCTTTGCTGGTAGTGCACCTCACAAAAACTGTTGTTAGGAGGGTAGCTGCTACTCAGTATCCAGTCTCAAAAAGATTTAAACTCACGGCACAAAATTTTCAGTAGCTAAATACTCAAGGGATTCACGCCCTGGAAAAGATGGCCGTTCCGTGGAGCGAAGCGTGCCGACATAATCCTTCAGGTCTTGCGCGAGGGTCGAGATCAAATGAAGACGGGATCTCAAAAGCAAATTTATTCAGCATTAGAGATAGAATAAGATTGTTGAATTTATACACACTAAAATCTATGTAGCCACCGTTAGCTAAGAACACTTTGTTCGACAACTACAACAGGATCGATGATACCTTGCATAGAAAGCCTCGAGGAAGTTAGGATCGCGTGCATCCAAAATCCGCTCTTCTCTCTCTGCTTAAATATATCGAATCAGTTGCTGGTCATACAATAACAAATATCATCCTACCTGTGACATTCTTCTGGAAGGCGGAAACAAATATTTCTTTTCTTTGTTTCGGAAGCAGGATGTAATTTTCCACATCAATTAGTTTACCAGCGGCAATGCTGAATAACAAAGTTGTTTTACTACACACGTGTTAACCCGTAATTAATTCACAAACATCTCATATCCCAACTATAACATGATTTGGACAAATCAAAATTTTTAACCAAAAATTGCAGACACCCCAGCAAAAGATAGCGCTATTCTAATCAATTCTTAGAATAAAATAACGGCTACGATGGCGCCTTCACCGAAATAACTTAGGGAATACATGATAGAGTTGCATTAGCAGCTGTACCAAGCGGCATGACTCAAAACGGGGGGGGGGGGGGGGGGGGGG